TGCACCCCATGTTTATTGCTGCTTGTATTCATTGTAGCAAAGAAGTGGAACCAACTAGTTGGCCATCAGCAGGTGAATGGATAATGAAAATCTAGTACACATATAATGAAATAGTGTTCAGCTCTAGAAAAATGAAATCATAAAATTTGCAGGAAAATGGATGGACATAGAATGTGTAATATTAAGTGAGGTTACACAATCTCAGAAATAAAAACCCTGCACATTTTCTCTCTTGTGGATACTAGCCTCACATCTATGCATGGATACATGTGTACAGATGTACTGCAGGTACAGTACACGAGGTACAAAGGAAAAGAGAAGATAAATACTAAGTGATGGAGGAAAGGACACAAAGGACGTAGAGCTAGTAGTTTTACTCGTATTGACCTTGTAATGAGCCTTTTCTATGTGTATGATGGATAAGTGCATTAAAAATACAGTTGAGGAAGTCGAGATGCTTAGCAGTTAAGAGCACTAGTTCAGTTCTTGGTGCCCGCATGATGGTTCAGACCCATCTATATAACTCCAGTTCCAAGGGATCTGACACCTCTTCTGATCTTGGTCAGGCATGCATGCAGTACACACACATACATACATACAGGCAAAACACAAACATAAATCTTTAAAAATGTAAATGATAGTGAAAAATTCAAAATCATAATTGATAGTGAAAGTGTATATTCCTATGTGATAATACTGCGGCTGGAGATGGCAGTCCTGACTGTACAGAAGTTTACTGAGCTGTGGGAGCTTTGCATCTGCTAACCTTGTTGTATGGTGTTTTTTATTTGCAAATTCTTTATGATATATTTTTAATTAAACAGTAAAATGGTTCTTGGTTCATGGTCTTAAGAATGTATATTTTATATTTATATATATATATATATATATATATATATATATCCCACCTATTTGTCTTATGACTAACTGGGTGGTCTTTTTTTTAATTTCTTTTCGCAGCTATGGAAAATTAAGTCCTAAGCTGAGTTGTGTGCCTGGACACTCTTCTGGCTGCTGTCACTCACTGCTTGCCCACTGAGGACAAAAATGACTTACTTAAATCAGTGACCCCACCTGCCGGCTCACTTGCATAAGCCTCTCTGCTCTGGCAAGCCTATCGAATGGAGTTTCCAGCAGGGCACATCGTTTCCCTGGGCATGAGTGCTAAAACCTGCACTTTCATGGTTCTCAAGCAATGTGAATAGTCAGCAAACTAAAGCCTGCCTGACAGTGACATGGACCTTCTGTGTCAGGACATGGATCCTGGGCCCTCCAGTATTGTGCTAGTTATAGTTACTGGAAATAGGCTTTTGGGTAACCATGGTAGATGCCCAAAGCATGAAGCAATTATCTTTTATTGGAAATATGCAAATTCAGTACTTTTCTAATATAGTCTATGGATTGGAGATTTCTCTATCAAAGAGGGATACACTATTTTAGGTTAAATCCAATAAAAGAACTTTACTGTGGAGAATTTCAGTTTCTAAACTTTTTGCAGGGTGGGTGGAGAAATACAATAACCTTCAAAGCTGAATTTCTGTTCATTTGTAGATAAATTTTAATTTATGATTTTGAGTTAAGCCTGTAACATGGTGAAGTCATGCATACTCATGAGTAATTCAGCCATGCGCATTGGATAGCATGGTTTCTCTAATGGTTTGCCTGTTGTGCAATGTCACGTATCCAGCCTTTAGTACTATTTCAGGTCCTCAGTGTCTAATGATTGCCACACTGTGCCTTGGATGTAGGTTTTCTTACGAGCATTTCATTATGCACGCGTCTCTTAATGGAAACACCAGCATTCTTGCTCATGAAGCTCTCTGCTTTGAAGAATTTCTTGGGGAAGACTGGAAGTGTGAACACCTTAATGGTAAGATTTTGTAGAACTTGGTCATCTCCTATACTACATTTATATCATAGGTTTGGGTACACATTTTTTATATCTCTTTATGTGTATAGATGTTTGGCCTTTGTGTATATTTGTGCTCTATGTGCATGTCTGGTGCCCGAAGCCAGAAGAAGGCATTGGATCCCCTGGTACTGGAGTTAACTCATGGTTATGAGCTGCCATGTTGGTGCTAAAGATTGAATTCAGGTCCTCTGAGCCATCCCTCCAGTCCTTGTTACATATTGTGTATGCAGGGAAATAGATGAACTTAAAGATGAGCTTCCCAAGATCCCACAGATTGTACAGATCTCTGTTCACATCTTTGTCCCAGCTACTAAGTGTCTCAATTTCCTCACCTGTTAAGTAGGTATAACTACTACTTAATGAGGTTGTTTCGTTTTAATGAGATTATATAAGTTCCTTAGCACCATGTAAAACACTTAGCTGTTAATTGCGCTGTAAATATTATTACTAGCTATACCCTTATAGGTCTGACAGTCCTAACTGTGAAGACACAAATACAGGTAGTGGTCAGCAAGGGTACTCGCCCATCCCAAATGCTAGACATTTTAAAACCAAAGTTCCATTGATCTGTGTGTACATGTGCATGTGTAGAGGTCAGTAAAGCAAATCTGGTGTCCTTTATAAACCCCAGCTGGTTCCTTTGAAGCAGGGTCTCCTGAACCTGGTTCATGTTCTTTGAGCCAGGCTGGAAGCCAGAGCCAGACAGATCCTCCAGCTACTATTCCCTCTGGGATGTGAACTCTGGTCTTCATTGTTGTGTGCAAACTTGCTCCTAACTGCTGAGCTGTCTTTCTAGCCCCAGGGGCTGTGATTCTTGAAGCTGATCTAGACTCTCAGGCCTCAACAGACAGCTCACAGAATGTCAGGGTCCGTATGCCCTAACATAGAAACTATTTTTCCCTAACCCGACCGGTACGGAGGCGCGAGAAATACCAAGACAAAGTTCACACAGCCATCTCAGAAGGGCATCTCAGGCTTCATCCATTCCTGAAGATCTACCCGCGTTTATTCTACAAAACACCTTTTATCCCCCAGGTAAACCAAGGTGGATACTCATTAATATTCTTTTTCCTGGGGACCAAGGGACTACCAAACTGCCTGCAACTTAAGTCACCAACCTTGGAAACAACACCTCTCCCCAGGCAATCTACATTTTAACAAAGGAGAAGGAGCCATACATCCTGGCCTTTGTTAGGTGGCTAGCTTGTTTGGCAGGATTGCACAGCTGCCTTGGAAATTAAGCATGGCCAGTGAGCCTGCCTGTAAATATTTTGTATGAAATATGGGCCCACAACAGAAAGTGACTGACCATTTTCTGTAAGGAAAAATTGTTTCAAATTTAAGATTTAAGTTTTGCAGAATTTGGTTGTTTTTAATTTGGAACCTTTACAGTGTATTATAGTACTTTACCTTGAGGGTTAGTGGGGACTAAGGTTTTGGTTGTGTATAAAAGACTTGTGTTTCAGGTGGGTAAACTTATATACAAAGGCAATTATTATTTATCCATGTTGGAATTATTTGTTGCCTTATATCGTCCCCAAATTTGAATAATTATCTTCTGATCATTTCATGCTTCTGTTCCCATTGCCACCCACTCAAATTTCACATTAATTTTTTAAACAAGGTCTTTCTGCTTCCATTTTTTACATATGGCTTCCTCTCCTCCTTGTCCAATCCAGTGGTTTTTTTTTTTGTTTGTTTGTTTTTATTGTGTATGCATTGGTGTTTTGCCTGCATGTATGTCTGTGTGAGGATGTCAGATCTTGGGATCACAGTTATGAGTTGCCTTCTGGGTGCTGGGACTTGAACCTGGGTCCTCTAGAACAGTCAGTGCTCTTAACCACTGAACCATCTCTCTAGCCCTTTTGTTTTTTTAATATGGAAGATCTTTTGCCAAATATGTTTTATTTGGAATTCATTCATAGTTTAGTGTTGCAGGCAGTGGTGGCGCACACCTTTAAACCCAGCACTCAGGAGTCAGAGGCAGGCAGATCTCTGTGAGTTTGAGGCCAGCCTGGTCTACAGAGTGAGTTCCAGGACAGGTAGGGCTACACAGTGAAACCCTGTCTTGATAAACCAAGCCAAACTAAAACAAAACCATAGTTTACTGTCATTGTGAAGATAATCTACAATCTTTTTAAGTAAGGTATTCAGGCCTATTCTGTTGAAATATTTCAAAATCTTTATTACATATAAAAGATACTTTTGTTGACAACAAGATTTTAGGTTTAAAATAGTAGTTGCATGCTGGGGTGGTGATGCACACCTTAAATCTAAGCTCTCAGGAGGCAGAGGCAGGTAGAGCTCTGAGTTTGAGGCCAGCCTGGTCTCAATAAAAACAAATAGTTGTCCCTTTGCTTTCTGGATTGCCTTGTTTCTTACCAGAAGTCTTTCATTTTTGTTCTTCTCCAGTAATGAATCTGTGATTTAATTTTGACTGCTTTTAAGATTTGGAGCTTTACCACTGAATTTGTGCAGCTGAACCATTTGTGTTGGTGTAGCTGTTTTCATGTTTGTATTGGAATTTGTTGGCCTTAAGGAATTGTGATTTATTGTTTTTGTATCATTTTAGGTAGTTTGTATAATTCACATAATCAGATCACAAAACTTTTTGGCATTAAAAAATTAATTTTCTACATTCTACTCTGACTGTCCCCTTTTGGAGCTCAGCCCACCACGTATGTATTAGGCTGCTTGAAGCATCCTTAGCTCACCGAAGCTTATGCTTTTTTAGACTATTTATTTTTTTGTTGTACCTTTAAGTTTTCTATCCTGTCCAGCTCTAATTTGGCAGAATCATCCAGGGTATTGTTAATTTTTTGAGAGAAGTTGCACTGTTGTCACCAAGGCTGGCCTCCAGCTCCGGATCCCCTCTATCTCTGTCAGCTTCACAAGCACGTGCTAGTCTGTCTGCTCTATCCAGTACATTGCCCATCTGTGAAAATTTGATTTTAGTCTTAAAAACAAAGCCTTCCATGTCTCTCCTTAATATTTATTTTCTCTCACGTAATTTATATATTATATTTTATGTCTGGGTCATTTGGGATTTTGTTTTTATTGTCTTATCTCTTCATTTGGGACATGTTCCTGTTTTACATGCCTGGCATTTTTTTTTTTTTATTGGTTGTGAATTTTAGAATTGTGAGTGGGGTGTGTTGTGGTGTGCATGAATTCTTTTTTTGTAATCTTATTGAGCTTTATTTTGAAATGCAGTTTCTTCGAGACAGGGCATTTCAAAGATTGCTTTTAATCTTGGTAGATATGCCAGGGACAGTTAGACTTAGGATATATAATTCTTCTGCTAAAGCAAAATTTTTCTAAGTACTTGGTCTTCTGTTTGTGAGGAACAAGGTCTTCCTGCATTTGTAGCATGATCCTAGCCCTGTGTGGAGTTTACCATTTTTTTTTCTACCAGCTTCTTTTGGAGGTTCATTATGGTTGAGTGCTCGTACTACCAGCGTTCAACTAAAACTGGGCTACCCTCTGCATGTCCCTGAGCTCCCCTCCTCATGTCCCTGAGCTCCCCTCCTCTCTGAGCAATTGCATTTCTACACTGCAGCCCAGAGGCTACTTACAGACAGTTTTGGGGCTCTCCTTGTTCATCTGCTGTCATGTGCTGCCCTTGTCCAAAACCTAACATCTGCTAGTAAACTACTTCTATTATTTTTAAAGAGACATTTTCCTTACCTTAGTAAATGGTACAGTGCTGATTCTGTTGCTCAATGTTTAATCTAGTTCTGCCTTGTGATTTGAATGATGTCATGCTTAGTCTTTTGAATACTCCTCCACAATTGGTGGCACTGTTTGGAGAGGCTTAGGAGGTGTACCCTAGCTAGAGGAAGTGTGTCACTGGAGACCAGCTTTGAGAACTAAGACTTTTAGCATTTTAGTTCATGCTCTCTGCTTCCTGCTTGCAACTCCAGCTTTTGCTCCAGCCAGCTTGCCTGCTGCTTCTACTCCACCATCATGGACTCTTAACTCTCTGGAACCGTAAGTTCAAACAAACTTTCTTTGTGGATTGCCTTGGCGTATGTCTTGTCATAGTCCTATACAAGTAAAAATTCATGGTTTTCACTGCTACTAGCAAAACCTCCTTTAGACTCACCCTGTGCTGTTCTGCTCTGCTGGGTTTCCATTATAGCTGAAAAGTTGGTTTTCCACAGCTGCATGAATGAACTTAAAATATGGAAATTCTTACACTGTAATCCATATTAAATGCTGTTTATTTCCTGTGGTCACCTCCAAGGCCCTCCTTTGTCAGTGCTGCATTCCTTTCCAGTTTGACATCCTCTGCCTCACTTTACCTGCGCTGCCTTCCACACCATCCCATGCTCTGTCTTGTGCAGTAATCACTGTTTAGTTGACACCTGTGTATTATCTAGTGACTTATACTTTGATTTCCCCAAAGGGCTAAGATTTTGGTAATACTACATTATTGATAAATAAAACCAAGATGTAGAGTTATCTGATAGAAAAAGTCTAAATCTCATACTCAAAAATATGGACACAGCCTTATTTACTTTCATATCCTGTAGATAAATGCCCATTTTATACTATGCACATTAAGCCCAATTAATTAATTAATTGTAGCAGTATCTATCAAAGAATAAGAAATTTACCTATTGATTTGGATTTTAAATCTGTTTCACTGGGGGAAATCATCCTTCCTAAAATTGCTATGGAGATATAATCTGTAAACCTCCTAGACATGTTATGGTCACAACTATAAACTAAACATTGAAAAGCTAAATAACCATATGCTTGCCTAACTGGGATATAGTTTTCTCTACTTTCCAATAAGAGAAATTCTAAATAACAGAATGTCTCAAATGTGTCAGTTTATTGGTTCAAGGTTAATGAACCTTATTTTAAATTAATCAAACTGAAAGCCTTGAAAAATTTAAATCTACATATTCTTAATAGGCCAGCTGGGTCTTGTTCCCAAACATGGTGATTTGGGAATTCATTAATTCACACATACACGAACTAGTCTACTAATTTAAGTAATCTGTTTCTTGCAGTCAGTCCCTGGAGCCTCTTCTGAGCGATGAAATTTGAACACAAACATGCAGTGGTATACTTTTCCTGCACAACACACACAACTCCGATAAGGTAGCACGCAGGTTAACTAGCGATTGTCCTAAGTACAAAGTAAGTTTCTTGGTTTTTAAATTTGTTTTTTTTTCTTTTTGACTTTAATGTACATAGTTTAAGCATTTGGCTGTGTCCATATTTTAGAGCATGAGATATAGACCTTTTCTACTAGATAAAATTCTTCATAAGCATTCATATGCTTATTTAATTCATATTCATATTTAATGCTGCTTATATGCCTAGAGACTAGATTCAGCTTCTATGTCAGTACCATGGAGAACTTATAGCCTATCAAGTTTGTAGATGTGTCAGACGATTTCAGCTAACAAAAGATGATAGACTTCCCAAATAAATGTATCTGTTGCTGTTTATAAAATTGGTAGTGTTTAGGTGCAAGGCACACAAAGACAGACAGTGCTCTGATGCACTCCCACTCTAGAGTGGACTGCTGTATTTCAGTCAGGTTACACAGATGTTCTTTGGTTATACAGTCATACAGTAGGCTCAGCTCCAGTCTACATCTTTGTGGCGGTCACTAGGCAGAACCTTACTCAACCTCTTGTGTGCCTTCAATACTTTTGGTGAGAAATGGAAATATAAGTATGGAACTCCATTTGTCCAGATATGTGCAAAGCATTTGGCTTTGTATTTCTGCACAAGAATAAGAAGTATCTTCACTATTTTGCTTTTTAATTTATGTAAATGTGTGCATCAAGGGCACCTGAATGGATGTGGTTCTCTCCTACCATAGTTCTGGCGATGGAAGGGTTGGTGGCAAGTGCTCTTACCTGCTGAGCCATCTTCGCTGCTCGAGTTTCCTTTAAATGAAGGGATTCTCATGTAAAAATAAGAAGCCAAATGCTTTTTGGGGCCAAGACTTTCTTGATCAAGGAGTTGACACTGCTCAGAGCTGCTTAGCTGTAAGGGTGCTGTAGCTGTCAGAAGGCAATGCTGTGGGATTGCAGCAGCCCTGCCTGGGAACAGTGTGTTCACAGAACTTCAGAGCTCCTACTTTCAGCAGCTTTTGCTCTGACACATTTCCATTATTTCCATGTGGGTCTGGAAATAGAACTAGACTTTATTTTTAGTGTGAGGTCATGCAATTATAGGAATTTTTCTCCTGAAGAGTATTAATAAACCAGAGTTTTGAAGTAGGATTTAACACACACATGAAGTGAAATGAAATCAAATCCAGATACTTAATTCTAAAAGTAAATTTAAAATAAATAAAATATTTTTCAATAATGTGAATCACCATGGAATTCTGTGAACTAGTGGGAAGTGGTCAGTACTGTTATCCCACTATAAATGTGTAGTGCCTGGATTCCAGTGAGATGAAATGTCTTCTCTAGTAGTGGAGAAAGGGGGCATTAAAAAATGTCTTTGCAATGAAATAAGGGTATACAACTCAAGGCTTTCATTCACATATGAAATTCAGTGCAGGCAAAGACACATTATTATGTCTTTCTGATTTTAAGACTCTTATGACTCAGATCATGATGGCAACTAAGGTCTGCAAAACAGCAATGTTAAATGATGCTGACAGTTTTTTAAAAAAAAAGCAGGACATAAATTTTTTTCTTTTTTAATATCTATATAAAAAATAACGAGCGATTTACAGATCTTTCTCTAATCAGAACCTCAAGTGTGTATATAAAGGTACTGTACATATATAAACATTTACAACCAGGACATCCATATTTGCACAGCATTCCAAGGCCACATGGCTAAGTCAGTATATAATCAGTACAGTGACAGGTTACTTAGGAAGAGCCACATCAGACTGACAACATATGACATCAAAGTTATGTCACAGTTAACAATAAAAATAGGATTTGTGTCACTAATTGTGGACTATAGGGAAAATAAATCATTTCTGTGGTACTAAATTCTTAGCATTTATCAAGCCTCCTAATTTTGCTCTATTCAAGTAGTTATACATAATAGATGGGTAAATATAGTTCTGGGTGGAAGCATGTGTTTCCTACAAGGTCAGTACAGTTGGTCACAGTGGAGTTTGTCAGACTCACGGGGTAACAGAATGAGTGTTCAAATACTCTATAAGTAGACAGTTTTGGTCTGAGAAATGTCTATATTTATAGATGCTTTTGAATGCTGTTTCAGGGAACCTAACTAACATCCTGATCTATTGCATGAGGTTAAAAATTGTCTCCAACTTTTAGCAGTTTTTCTTAGATTTTAGAAAAGAACTCTGAAAGCTTTTCCTGTTTTTAGTTAATTAGCTAAAAATTAAAGTTCCACCACACAGTCTATACTGTATTAGTCTTGACTTGCTGCGGAAGCCCAATGCAGGCTCTGCTCTAAATTCTGAAAACCTGTATGTCTGCCCCACATGAACTTCTCTATGCCACAGGAGCTGATGCTTTGTCTGGCTGTAGCACTGGATTCATGACTAAGTCTCACACAATGATCTATAGATTTAGGCTTTCCAATAATGTATTAGAGACTAATGATTAATAATCAAGATATCCAGATATAGTAATTTTTCTTTAAAGAGAAATGGTATTTCTACACGCTTCTGCACGTCTCTCACTATAGTAGGGGGTCTGAGACACTGTAACTACATTAGGGTTGGCTAACATGGCAGGAGTTTGTTCACTCTGTTGCTTAGTCTTCCTCATTTTGAGCATTCAATTGTAAGGAATATCTTTAGCAGTTACTTGAAACACCTTAGCCATAAAAAAGCATCTTCAATATTTGACCTTTCCTGTACATAGTGATGTTTCTTAGTTGCATTTTTAAACTAGACGGTCAGAAGCTGTGAGAAGAGGCAAGTGCCAACTTTAATGATCAGCTAACAATTTCTTCCTCTGCAAGGACTCAAATATTTCTCTCTGTAAACATGCAACATGCTATTGAAAATATCTTCAATCCAAACTGAACTGTTTGATGACTGGAAATATCAGAATGGGAAGGATAAACAGACATGATACAGTAGATAACTTGGCACAAATACAAAGTGAGCTGTGACCACACTGGTAAGATCATGTCATTGCTGAGCGGGTGGCCTGAGCAGGGCGTGGCAGAGGAGCCCATGGGTGCAGCTCCTTCCTGAGCATGAGGAAGGGCAGCCAGCAAGGGCCAGGTGGGATTTAGCAATCTCAGAAGCCCTTCATGCAGCCTGGCTAACTTGATGCTCCAATTAGATATTGAAGACTTTCTGGGGGAAAAACATACCTCTCCCCTTTAAGAGAATGCTGTGTTATAGTAAAAGATAACAACTTAAATTTTCTTTGAATTATACAAAAGGTCACAGCTGTTTATCAGTCATGCCAACGGTGCCTGTGATTTTATTTGCTCGCGGCACCCTCCAGGGCCCTGGAGTGATGGGTGCTTTTTTGACGGGAGAGCTGTTTTCAGGTGTGCCCCCTGCATGCTCCTTGCATTTGTCAGTGGCCTCTGGATCTTTCTGTTTGTCATCTCCCGATTTATTTAACATCACCTTCTCTTCAGGTTCCTGCTTGAGCTTCTTTGCTGAGATCTGGATGTTATCTCCTGCAGTTGGCTTCTTTCCTTTTTCCTTCTCAGACACTGCCCTACTAGTGGTGTTGTTAGTCTTTTTGGATGAAAGAGATGTTTCATCAATTTTATGGCCCTTTTTCTCTGGAGACCTCGTTCTGTTTTTACCCAGTTGACTCTGCTTCAGATCTTTCCTGATGACACCCGACTTTTCTTTACCATCTGGGAGCTGTTCAGTACTGTCGAAAATATGGCCTGCTGTTCTTTGACTCCCAACTTCTGGGAATTTGCTCTCAGTGTTTGATGGGCTGTTGCCTCCAATCTTTTGCTGCTTCTTGGGACTAGAAGAGCGTCCCCTGCCTTTTCTGCAGGGATCATGTCCAGAACCTGCCTTAGTGGTGATCTGACCTTTAGTCTCTCCTTTCCTAGGGCTGAGTGACCGATCTCTAGATTTTCCTTTGGGGTCACTTTTTAGGGGCCTGGGAAACTTTTCCAAATGTTCCTCTGAATGTCGATTAGCTGACTTTTTGGGACTAGCAGATCTACCTCTTCGTGTGACACCATTTTCTCCTTTTAGTAGACTCTTCTCATGCCCATAACTATTGGATGGACCTTTCTTACTCACATTTTTCTGGAAAACAATCTGATGCTTCGTTTCAGGCTGGCTTCCATTTAAAGTGCTTTTCTTTTCTGGTACAGTGTCCTTTAGTTCTTCTGCCTTTTCACATATCTGAACTCTAATCAGAGAGTCTTCGATTACTGGCACATTAGGTTCTTCAAATATGGAAGCAGAATGTGAAGATGGGAGAAGTGGCTGTTCATCATAAATGACATTGGAAGATGAAGGACTATTAATATCCCAATCACCTAAAAAGTGATTGAGTAAAACACAGTTACACTCAACAATTATAAACAGAAACAGTGAGTTTTGAACTTTGACAGCCATTTGAGTAACTAACCAGTAACACAGTAACACAGCCCAAGGAGGAGTATGTTACATTGCTTATACACGTTTATGTCACTCTTTATAAAGGCAGATGCTTGTAGATATCTGCTCATACATGAAGGGCACATTATGTTATAATTGTTTCACTTATGTACTGTAAGAGGTAATATATGATCTATAAATTATTTATAAATCCAAATAAGATACAAATAATAAAACTGGACCAAAGTAGCTGGTCCAAGAAACTTACTAACTTAACTATTATTACTGTTTAAGTTAAGGATATGCCAAACTCACTAGTGAAAAAGACCAGACTATAGTACCCCAAATGAGGTTTATGGGCACCGTAAATAATTTTCTTGTTAAGCTGTCAAATTTAATGTCAAAAGGAGACTGAAAAAGTGCAGAAGACAGAAGTAGATGTACTTATTAATAGCATCATTTTAATTAAAAAGAAAAAGAAGTGATTTAAAAGACATGCAAATTTACCAAGTCTTTTTAAGGAAAGACCAAGAAAAGCCCTGAAAGCCTTAATGTTGCTCAGGTTTCACGTAGGAGCACAGACCGGAAGGAGCCAAACCTGAAGAAGGAAGAGAAAAAGCCTAGGACTATGTGAAAACAAACCAGCACAGTTAGCACAGATGTCATGGGCACGTGTGCTGTATGAGCAGATGGTGGAAGGTAACACAGCCAGAGATCACAGCTGGAAGGGACGGCAGGAGCTCATGTCTACATGTACCCTACAGAAGCTCATGTCTACATGTACCCTACAGAAGCTCTGACGGAGCTGTAGGGAAGACTCGTACACAATGGGTGGAGTTCTAGGATCATGCATTCTCAAAGTGAGTTTTGAAACACTGCGACAGTTCAGAACGTCTAATAAAGCCAAGGGCATTTACTATCAGTGCAGGAGTACAGACATGATATCAGATACCTCCCTGTCCCCAGGTAGTGGGGCTATGGCAACTTAATTTGATAAATGACTAGAAAAATCCTAAAGTTCTGGCATTCATTGACACACTTATCTTACTTTAAGAAAATAACATTTATTGGCAATGTGTAATTAACCAAGGAGGGAATAAAGCTAGGATATTCTAAAGACATTTGAAATGTTTGCTTCTAATGTTCTCATTTCTTACAGGCATATTTTTCTACAAAAAGCACTATGTGTTTTCAGATGAAATAAAGATAATCATTCTATTTCAACAAATAATACTGTTTGGAACATCACTTGCATTACAGTAACATTCTTTGGTGGTGCTGGTATCACTTCTGAGTCAGCCAGTAAGATGTCCGTGCCCTCCAAAGGGGTATCCCTGTCTTCTGTCGGGCCCTCCCCAGCATGAGTGTTTAGCTGTTTTGCTTACCATGGTCAGGTATCAAGCCAGTTCCTGGCCTCAAAAGAAGGAGGACTTTATTTCCGCCAGCCTGAATGAGCTCAATCGCTCGCGTATGTGTGATGCCTTGTGTAGGTTCCCCATTGATTTCAACAATCTGGTCACCAACCTGGACAAGGAACATTCACAACTGTGTGAAACAGCAGTTTTTCATTTCCACATTGTCAACAGAGCCCTTCACCCTGCTAAGTCATTCTTACTTGTGAAATCTTTAACCTAGCAGAGTGCAATTCTGGTGATGGCTGCTGGACGGATAGATAATGGCAATGAGGAGAGACAGTGCATGATTTTTATCTGCTTTATAAAAATTTCTCATGGGAAAGCTTTATGTGGTTACTAATCAGTATCAATCAAATTTTCCCACATATGTGAGGCCCTGAGACTGATCTCTAGTCTTACAAAATAAATTTTTTAAATAAATCTAGTTTTCTACCAAAATTTGAAACAATAGAAAAGGCGACATTTCTATATTAACCTAAATAACAGCATAAAGCAGCATCTACATGACAGCTGGACAGGCGCTTTCAGACACAAGCAGCAAACTCACTAAAAAGCTGGGCAGGTGATTGCTCATAACAGAAGCTTTTCTGAGACTGACCATTCTTTACATTGCCAGCATATCCTGTACATGGGTGAGGCCTTAGCTAAACGATGTACTTGGAGATTACAATTTATAAAGCTTTGAGAATACATTATTTATGTATATGAACAGTTATTTAAACCAATTACTGCACTGTATATAGTGACTTAAACACAAAATAATTTTCTGGGAAACAAAAAACTAGGACTAAATAAGATACCATAATGCTGGTGTCATTTACCAGAAGTATATATTTTAAAAGAAAGCAAAAAATAGGAGGAAATTTAACAGTAAAAGACACGAGTAAAGATGGTGATGTGATTTAAAAGCTACATCAAGGTCATATGCAGCAGAGTATTTATTTTAAAACGAACAATGAGACATTACTGAAAATAAAAACCCAAATATTCCAGATATTGGTAAGACCATAAATAATCCCTAAGTAGTGACAGATCAGACTGAGATTTGACGGGCTGGAGAGAAGGTGGTTAAGAGCACTGGCTGTTCTTCCAGTGGACTTGGGTTCAATTTCCAGCACCCACATGACAGCTCAAAACCGCCTTTAACGCCAGTTCCAGGGGATTTAGTAACTTTTTCCGGCCTTTGTGAGCCAGGTAAATACAAGCAAAACACTAAAAAAAAAAATTAAAAATGAATCTAGAGATACAACCTGACCTGACAGGAAGCTGAGGTCCAGCTATGTGGTTCTTACCATACACAGCTTTAACCTTGTCCTAGGTCAGGGGTCTCATTTTCCTCGCCTGTCTCATGGGGCGGTAGGAGAGTGCTATGAGACACCAGCTGTAAATACATGCCGGTCTTCAAGTTATTGTAAAATGCACTGGCATAAAGATGCGACTGAATATATCCAATTCTACACACTGAAGAAATTATAAACTATGGAACAAATAAAAGTGTTGTATATTTACAAAGAGAAAAAACATGTTTTACTCTTGAATAAATGGAGGTATGAAGGGTATCAGAAACATGACCGTCTAATCTACATGGGAAGTAGAAAAAGACAAGATCTAAGTAAATTGGGAGTGTGGGAATCATGGGAAAAGGTAGAAGGGAAGGGGGGAGAAACGGAGGGGAGCGGAGAAAAATATATAGCTCAATAAAAAGAATAAATAAATAAATGAAACATGACCAGCTGGTGAATTTAACTGACATTATGCTTTAAACATTGCCTAGAATTCACATGTTGAAAACCTAACCTCTTAAGTCATATATTAGGGTTCTGAGGAGTGGGAACTTGGGAGGCAACTAATTATTATCAATGGGGAGTAGCTTTGTTTTAAAAGTGAGATCCTATCTCCTAAGCATTCTTTGTCCCCCTGTCACATGCCTACTGTCTCAAAACTAGCATTCCCACCAGCAGGGGCGTCTTAACATGAGATTTTACAGACTCCAGAGGTGTAACAGTTTATATAATCCCCAAACTCAGGTGTTCAGTTATGGTAAAAAGCAGACTAAGAAAACACAGGAAATGAACTCAAACAGCGAAGTAAGATGAAGATTACAGAACAGAAAACAGTAATAAAGTCAATTATCTAGAATAAGTGGAACAAAAGCCACTATTAAGCTCCTTTGATAAGTGATAAAAAATTATTTCCCCAAGGAAGTATAAATAACAAAGTATCTCTGAATAAATAATTTTGACAATAAAGGAAAACTAATGTGAGCACAATTAGTCATCTTAAGAATGATGTCACAGTTTCAGTGACATTCTTTGTCTCAGGCCACAAACCTGTATATTTTAATATAAATAAAATCTTAAAAAAAACTTGTAATTGAACAGACTTACCACCAGGTGTCATTTTAACTTTAAAATAAAAAAGGGAAGGGAAAGTGTGTCTGAGAGCTCTACACTTAAAACCAAAGGGAAAAACACCTCTGGGAGGACAGATGAACATTTTTTTGAGATTATAGGTTGCTATAAAATGTCAATAAAATGGTGAAAGTATTTTTGAAAAGCTGAACATTCAACTCCAGTTTTACCAAAAAATCATGAGACGAGAGGAGAAGGGAAAGGAGAGAGAAATGAAAGGTAGATGAAGTAAAGGAAAAGACATGTTTCTGCAGACGGAGCAACTCCAGTGATCAACTGAAGCCAGTCTTGGTAAAACAGCTAGGCTTTAAAACTTAAAAAACAAACAAACAAACAAACAAACAAAAAACCCAAAAAACTCAAAAACCCAAAACAAAAGACAGGGAGAAAAAGGAGATGTTGCAGTTGTGGCTGCAGAGAGGCTCAGAGCTGAACAGTGCTGGTTCCCAGCACACAACCATCTGTTACTCCAGTCCCAGAGGATCTGATGCCCTCTTCTGGCCTCTGAGGGTACTGAATGCATGTGGTAAAAAGACCTCTACAGACAAAACACCCACACACATAAAATATTAAATCTTTAGAAACTCACTGTCTTCTAAAACATAAATGGATTATATTATTTTACAACCTGTTAAGAAATGTCTCCTGAGGAAATCCAACCCAGAGGATGTCAGCAAGGAGATCCTCGGATTTAAGTCTGTAAGTGTAGGTACTGCCACTTACCTCATGGACCTACAGTAGCGTAAGTGGCAATACATACTGCTTGGAAGACAGAACTGAGAATCTGACTTCCTTGCTTGCAGCGCTAGGGATAGAAACTTAGGCCTCAGGTATGCTAGACACACAATGAACCATAACCCAGGATTTAAGGACCAGTTTCAGACTCCAGATATTTCCAGATCCTCTGCTGACACGCAGTACCTTCCCACCCATAAGCTAACATTCTCTTGGTTTCCGAATTATACTAGTACATTGTTGCTGGACCACTAATCCTGTCTACCCAGTTATAAGAACTGAGGACAAATCTTCATTTTCTAAAACATTCAGTATTTAGGAGCTGATGCAGTAGCTCAGTGGGTAGAAGTATTTGCTGTTAAGATTGACAGACTTAAGTTCAAGTCTGGGTTCACATGGTGAAAAACAAGCACCAATACTCTCAAGTTGTCCTCACACATACACTTAATAATTTTAAAGATTAATTATCTAGATTTATCCATCCATTCTAACCTCTTGATATCTATAAGCATCTATAAAGTACTAATCTTGATTTAAAAACTCACCCAGAACATCCTTTTGAAAAATGTTTATGAATTGCCCACTGTATATTCAAGGCACTGTATGAAGTACTGAAGACACTGATTCAAAGGTACAGAGTACAAACTGCTATATGGAGATCAGTAAGGGAGGAAGGAGGCAAGAGAGGTGGAGGCCCTTTCATGGCATCACGGAGAGTGTTAGTTGAGACCTCTCTGAAAGTCAACATATTTTCTTTTTAGAATATATTTGAATATAACAGTTAATAGTCTACTTTTGTTTTCAAAATCTAGTGTTTATTTTTTAAACAAAAGTAGGTTCAGTTATGGGACTTTCAGTTTCTGATATCTTTTAGAGCTACACATTACCTGCTTTTAAGGCATGTTTGACTTACATTTGTATGATGGAATTAGTAGATCTGAGGGCTCTATTTGGAACCAACATTTTAAAAAGAAGAAATGTAAGCCAGGCAGTGGTGCTGCACATCTTTAATCGTAGCACCAGGAAACAGGCAGGTGGATCTCTGAGTTTGAGGTTAGCCTGGTCTACAAAGCAAGTTCCAGGACAGCCAGGGCTACACGGAAACCCTGTCTTGAAAAACTAAAAAAGAAGAAATGTGAAATACCTCAGTAGAGGAGAGGTAAAGAGGAAGAGGAAGAGCATGAGGGGGAGAGAATCAAGAGAACTCTAAAGCATTTACAATGGATCCTAAACTGAGGCTCAAAAAGAAGCTGCTTAAAGCTATATTGCTTCAAAATGGTAGGAAAAAGGTTTGATTTGTATCTTCCTCAATTCTCAAACCTGAGCTCTTTTCACTCTGTTGAACTATGTGAGAAAGCAAGCAGGCTAGTCAGAACTACTCTGTATCAGCTGCCCCCCAGTGGCATTTGGCCTTCCTGCTTATAATAAACTCTCAGGCTCTGGTGTGTGATTTTTGCATTTCTACCCTTCCTGTTTGCTTTACTTTTATTGTGCACTAATTGTAGGCCCCACTCAGAGTTATGTCCATGGCCTGCTGCTCTCTAAAACTTGGAGTGACTTAATCTACCACAAATACTTGCCCTTCGCTTCTGTCTATCTGGGTCATGTCACTATCTAAGGCCTGTGAAATACATTTGGACAACTAACTGGTACCTCTACTTTAATTAAAAAAATTATAGCAGCTGGCTGTCAAATTCTTTCTCACCTGAAATTTTTTTGTTTTGTCACAGAGGTAAGAATAGGTGTAGACAAAAGGTTCTGTCCTGCCCAGTCCCACAGCTGTTCAATCCCAACAAAACACACAGAGAATTATATTAATTATAAACTGTTTGGCCTATTAACTCAGCCTTATTACTAACTAGCTCTTACAATTTAAATTAACCATAATTCTTGTCTGTGTTAGCTAGGTGGCTTACTATCTTTTATCAGTGAGGCAGTCTCATCTTGCTTCCTCTGCGTCTGGGTGGTGACTGTAGACTGAGTCTTTCTTTCCTCTTCCCAGAATTCTCCTAGTCTGGTCATCCCGCCTATACTTCCTGCTTGGCTATTGGTCAATTAGTGTTTTATTAAACCAATATGAGTGACAAATCTTTCACAGCAAGGAGGTCCCCCAGACAGCCTTTGTCTTTGTCCCCTTGTCTCTCACTGATCAGATACTTAATGGGTCACCTAAGCTGGTCCTTCTTTCACTGGAAAGTGATCTCCTCCATTTTACCTTCTACCCAAAGCCTTAGCAGGCAAGTTCTCACACTCCATACATGAATGACAGCTACTTCTCTTCTCCATCCATCTGTACATTGCAGGTAGATACTTCTTAGCAGCATGCTGCTCTGAAAACATCTTTGGTCAAAAGCCTACTGTGCCTTTCCACTGCCCAGCACCTCCATACTTCTAACCCATGCTTTCTTCACCTCATTTCCTTCCACTCCTCTGTATACATCCTAAATAACGACATCGCTCAGCCACAGAGTTCCCTGTTATGTAGAGTGCCATTCCTTCATTTCATCCATTGCTATTTCTTCAGCCTCTTTCCTGAACTGTACTTTTCTTCAGGAACCTTTGTTAGTCACTCTCTCTGATCTTGTGTTTATGCCTGGTCATTTTAAGGAAGGACTGATATACTCTCACCAACTAACTCATTTAACATCAGACTTAAAGTCTTGGTTAAGGTGAATACTCAAAACTAGTTTTGAAACAAATGATGGGTATGAAGCGGTAATGTGGAAAAGCAAAGCTGCAATTACCCAGAAGATATTTTTGTTTCTGGAACAATGTCTACTCATGTAGCCCATGCTGGTCTCAAACTTGCTAAGGTAGCTGAGGATGACCTTGAACTTGCAACCCCTCTGTCTCTACTTCCAAGTGCGAAAATTATAGGTGTGCGCCACCGCTTTTATGTGGTGCTAGGAATTGAACCCAAGGCTATACTATGCAAGCACACTACCAGCTGAGGTACATCCCACCCCCACCCCCGAGCCTTTTCTGATTATTAGAGCTAAGAATAATTTGTCTTACTATTACTCAACTAAAAGGGTTCTTTTTTCCTGGTGCCTCCTAATGACAGATAGAGGAAACCCAAAGTTCTCTTGGGTATTAAGAGGAAGGCTGTCTAGAACTTAAAATTTTAGTGATGACTAGTGAATTAACTAATTTTTAAACATTAAAGTCAACAGTTTTCTATGTAAGATTCCTCTTTAACATGCAGAGGAGAAAAAAAATGCAGATCTTTAAGCCATTTAGTCTCCATTGCCTTATACAGTGCTGGTGTTGCAGGGTTGAGAAAGCCTATGATAAAATATTACTGATGTGGATTCTGGTCTTTCTAATAATCATAAAGGTTGGCAGACCAGAATTTTCTGCCTCTTCAGGGAACTAAGTGGAAAAAACTCCCTGGAAGAAACTCTTGGAAGAAACTGGAGTCTTTTTTTATCCTGCTGTCTTTAAGACTTTTAATAAGATGGAAGTGTATTTGATTTATTAATCCATTGGCCTTGTATGCTGACTATACAAGAACTAATTTTTCTTACAGACACACAAAGAAACCATCAAACTAAGAAACCCTGGGTGGCCAGAAAAGCACAACAGCAGCATGTGGCTGCTTTTAGGAAAAACTCATTTCTTAGATGTTGGAGGTTTCTGCATTCCCTCAAAAGCAATTATTTTTATAAGCTTCCAGTCTAGAGTCAGAAGTAAAGGTTGCAAAAAGAAGCCAACTCACGTGAATCCTGCCGTCTTTGATGGCAGGGCCATCCTCAGCAAGGCGAAGGATGAACAGCCCCATATTGTACTCCTTCCCTCCTCGGAGGCTGAACCCAAAGCCCCGAGGGCCCCTCTCCAGCTCTACTGGGTAACACCCAAGGCTCTATAGGAAAGAAGCATGATAGAATGTTCTTATGCACTGCTTTTACTACATCTTGAAGAGAATCTGCTTTTACAGCCGAGAGACATGATGACTACTCCTGATATGCATTTCTATGACATAAGGAAGGAATGCTAGTTTGGGCTGCTATTTAATTTTTATTAATTCATTTGAAGATTATGCAGTCTTCTAGTTGGTCATTGTGAAATAGAACAATTTAGAGAACAGAATTTTTAAAATTTTAATTTTCTAAAAATTTCCCTAAACAAAAAGCAAAAAGCTCTCTCTATTTAATTAGCTATAATACTATGTACCTGTACATATTTAGCCTAGGTTTAAATTTCTCCCTTTTCAGGGTAAAGTTTTATCTCTACACCCTCTTGTATGGTTTAGTACATTCCAACCATTTTAGCAGTTCTGTAAAAATTAGTAATTTTGGAAGTAAATGTATTCAAACAGATTTGCAATAAAAACAGTAATGTCAGTGATACAGTGACCCAGAATTTTAGCAGCAGGGTGTTTCTATTTACCTGATTGTGTCGACTTCCCACAACCGAAATCACTGCTGTGTCAGGCTGTGCGAGGTGCTTGTGGTCAGACCACGAATGTCTGTAGGAACTGCAGACATCTTTCCCAATTTCACCTTCTAGGGCAATTCTGTGAGAGAAACCAAGGCATAATCTACCCCGAGGAAATGAAAAACAGTAACTTCTCTTTTCTTGAAGCTGAGCCCTGCCATCCTCCACCCTTACACGATGCTGCAGACGGACTGTCTCTAGAAGCAGAATTGCCAGAAAAGGCAGCTCGTTCCCTCCAGAGTAGCCTAAAGCCTGTGAACGCTGCCCTACTTCCTTCAGTGGGGTCCTGATAGAGTTGCTCTCTCAGAGTGACATTCAAAAAACTGAGGTTGGAGCAGATATGGTGACTGTTACCCCGAGAAATGGACCTCTCAAAGCCCCAAGGCCTGGGAGAGGCTGGATTTTCTTTTATGAGTAATGTTTTTAATAACAGGACAGATATACGTACAAATTCTCACTCAGTCTCAGGCAGTGCAAGAAGACTGACTCAGGTAGGGCCGGCCTTCCCTACTGACATGGTTACCAAAAGAAGCACAGTCAGTTGCTGGTGTCAGGCTGACTGGGTCTTTGTGCTGTGCCTGGGATGGAGACTGGGAAGGGGGTGACAGTCTGGGGTGGGGAGGACGCGAAGATGAAATACACAACAGTTTTCACTTGGTTATCTGGCTTGTGCACTACTGCCTGGGAGTGGGATAGTGAAAAGCGGGGAGATGAGAAAAAACCCAAAACCTGAGAATAGCCACACCTGTCCCCAGGTATGTGGTTGGCCTGTGCCTGTCCCATGGACCTGTGCTGCAGTGCTGGGCTTTGCCGGGCTGAGTTCGTTCCTGATGGTGGACCGTGATGCTCTGTTCAAAGAGAAAAACAACAGAAATGAGAATCTGTACATGAAAACACGAAGACCAAGTGGATCGTTAAGTAAACAATAGTAATGGTTGCAGTTCCCAGTTTTGAGGCTTTCACAGAACTGTACTATTATGTCCTGGAATTGGAACAGTAATGTCTTTCCCCTCTGGCTTTAAAAAACATGTTTCAAGAGGATAGGAGCTATTTCTAATTTCATATTCTCACCCTTGTCTGTCTCTTCCATACATGACAATTAGAACTGCACATATTCAGTCATCTCTGTGTAGAGGACAGAGCGCCAGGGGATGCTGCTCAGCCCATTCTAAGTTGCCAGAGCACAGGTTTTTTTTTTTTTTTTTTCCTTCCTGATAGTGCTAAGTTTCAAGATGCTGGAGCACAGCGGGTACACACAAACTCAACACATCTTGGAATTTGCATTTTATCAGAGGAAATTATTCTATTCTGCCTGATGCTGAGCATCAAAGATCAAAGACACCTAGACTGTTGAGAGAAATGTTTCTAAAGATTTCCTGGTTTTTGTTTTCTAAGAGCACAAATGCAAGAGAGAATAGTATTGTGTCCACATCACTCTTAACTGCTTGGAAAACTGACTACAGAGCCAACCAAGGTCTACATCCACAACTAGACGGAAGTTCTGGGAGAGGACAGTCAAAAGAGAATCTTTATCACCACCATCATCAAAATGATGTCTCATCTGGAACTGCATTCTCTTCAAGTATATATTTAGAAATTATTTTGTAAAAATGTTCAATGTGGAGGCTATTTTTTATTAGATCAACATAAAGAAATTGATAAATGAATCTTGGAGTATAAAGGAGAAGAGAAAATGTGATGTTAAAGATAAGGGATGGAAACAGGAAATTTTGTATGCAGGAAGTAGAAGCTTCAGGCTTTACAAATCACTGTTCTTGGATTCTATTTCTATAATTTTGATTATGCTGTTTCCCTTCAAAATTGTATTTAAGAACATCACATGCTGGGTGAGGGTGATACACACTTTTAATCTGAGCACTCCAGAGGCAGAGTCAGGTGGTTCTCTGTGTTCAAGTCCAGCCTGGTAAAGAGTAAGTACCGGGGACAGCCAAAGTTGCACAGAGAAACCCTGTCTCAAAAAACAAAATAAAAGAGAATGTCTTGCAACTAGAAGCTGTGAATACTCCTAAAAGCATAGGCAAGATGGTAAGAAGTGAAGAAGACTGTAGGTACACAGGTTCCCCATTTTTCCGAGGCGCTATGCAGGGCTGTTCTGCTACCTGGTTCCACTGCATCAGCTTAAGGGTGTAGCATAGAACTGCCCTCTCCTGTTATGTTAATTTTGCCTATGGCCCAAAGGTGTAGCTTAGAGAGAACTCTCCCTTTACTGTTATGGTAATTCCACCTGCAAGCAAGGTTCTCGCTGCAGGCAAGGTTCCCGGGTCAGCTCTTCTCTGAGCCTGAGCACGCCCACCTGGCTTCCTCTTTTCTCTGTTCAGCTGCTCTCCGACCTTGGGTGTGGCTCCCTGACTTCTCTCTTTCCTTGATCCTGATGGGGGCTGGTGTCCTTTTGCCCCACAGTATATATATCCGACCGATGCTTAATAAAGCTGCCATTTGCCGCTTGCTCCTTGGCAGATGAGCCCGGTCTCTTTGTGTGTGTGTCATATGTTTTAACTCCTAGGACAATCGTCCGTTCTCGTGGGCTCGAGTCAGGAAAAGCGTGCACCTGTTTCGAGGTTCGGGTGTCCACAGAAAAGTGCGGAAGCTTACAGAAGACAGAAAGGCAACACAGTCAAGCCCGGGCTGGGGCAGTTCTAATCCTGCTTCGCTGTGGCTGGTACCAACACAAGCCCACTAGATGAGGGCACACGGGACTAAGTCATTACAGACAAGTGTCCCAGGATAGAAAATGGAGTAGAGTGGGTGCCAACCTTTCCTCTGTAATGAACGTGTCTCCTAGTGGATTTAAGAGGTTACAATTTGGCCTCCTAACTTTTCCAAAATATGAAAAAAAAATATGTATTTAGTTTTTGAGACAGGGTTCATGTAGGCCAGGCTACCCTTGAAATTGTTATGTAGCTGAAGATGACCTTGAACTTTAACCTGCAGTGTCTACCTCCTGAGTTCTGAGATCCCATACTCAGTTTATGTAGTGCTGGATTTGAACTCAGGACTTCATGCAAGCTAAGCAAGAATTCTACCCACTGAACTACATTTATAGTATTTTTCTTTCCTTTTTTCTCATTTATTTATTTTTTACTTTTTAAGATTTTAATTACATTTCTCCCTTTCTTCCCTCCAAATCCTCCTTACTTTCTTTCAAATTCATGACCTCCTTTTTCTCATTTTTTATTCTTTTTTTATTTTTTTATTCTTTTTTAAAGACAGGGTTTCTCTGTAACTTTAGAACCTGTCCTGGAACTTGCTCTGTAAACCAAGCTATCCTCAAACTCACAGAAATCCACCTGTCTTTGTCTCCCAAGTCTGGGATTAAAGGTATGTGCTACCACTGCCTGGCTCCTTTTTGATTCTTCCTGCATGTATATATGTGTACATTTATACATATACAGCTCTCTAACCAGATGTTAAGACTCGTTCAACAAGATGGAAACCACACATATTACTGGAAGCCTAGCTAACTAATCAGTACTAGTGAAGTTAAGGTTACTGTGGGAGAATCTATACCCACTCATTAACAAAGAGAATATAATCCCTCACAACAATCAAAACATTTGTCATTAAATCCACAGGTAAGGAAACTTCTCTTTGTCACAAACTGAGACCAGTACCAAAACCCACAACCTGTCAAAAGGCAGAACTGTGGAACTCAGTCCTAGAGAATGCATCTCCAAAACATTCTTGCAACAAAGGCTCAGGGGAAACTATGGAAAAGGGGCAGAAAGTCTGTAAGAGCCAGAGGGTCCGAGTCTGCTGTGAGACTATGTCCTAGGAATGTCCAAGGCTGTATCCATAACATCACCAACATGACTGCCCAAACGTGAGCTGAACAGGGACGGCAGCAATGGACAAAGTGGACTGGGGAAAAGATCATCAGACCTCAACCCTCTACGGGGCGGTGGTGGCGCACATCTTTATCCCAACTCTCAGAAGGCAGAGACAGGCGGATCTCTGTAAGTTTGAGGTTAGCCTGGTCTACAGAAAAAGTTCCAGGATTGGCTCCATAGCAACTGGGAAACTCTGTCTTGAAAAACAACAAAACAAAAACCACAAAAAACTACAGGACAAGCAACTGAGAAATTCTGGAAGTGGGAGAAGACGTCTTCCTCAGGGAAGAGTACACCCAATGGTCAGCCCTGAAAACGTACATACAAGTAACATTATGCAAACTGAGCAAGTTTTATCTAATTGGCTTTCTCGTCACCAATTTGAACTTCCTTTGGCGCCTGGGCCTCTAGTTTCAACATAACCAATGAAACAACCAAACTATTTTGCTTTAAGACTTAAGGTAAACTTTTTGTCATGTATGAGATACTAATCAGGTTAGTCACCTGGACACAAGCCTTCATATTTCACCTTTTGTTCAAAATGTTACTTTCCCTTCCCTATGAGACCCTTCTGGCTTCTTACCCATACTGATTTCATTGTTTTTACAATGTTGATCACACTGTGTGAGAGATGGTCAAACACCTTCCTTCCTGCTAGATTATGATCTCTTTGATTAAAGGAATCATACCCTCTTTGTATTCCTGTTCCCTCTGGAAATTTCTGTCCTTCTACTTTTACTTACTGTGTATGTCATTTTCTACTTATCTGCCTCTAAATTTGAGAGCCCTTTACTGAGCTGAAATAAATCTTTTCTTGTCATTATAAATCCATAGTTACTATTTGGGGGATGAAAACTGATGGGAAAATTATCAGCAAGATGACAAGGAGAGAGTCCAATGCAGGTATGAGAAATGATATTTTTTTCTATTAAAGGTAGTTAATCTGACAAGGACCCTTATTTTCTGATCCCCCCACTGCTTTGTGTTGATTAAATAATTATGTCAGACTTATGTCAGGATCCCACCAATAGAATGAAATGCAGTAACCACCTACATTGGGGTAAAAGATAGAGACCATTTAGGTTGAGTGTGCTAGCTAGGATAGTTTGGGTTCTGGTACACGCTTTCTGCAAAAAGCAATTGCCTTGCTAAATTATTTTTACTCACACTGTTTATGTGTCCCTTTTGTGAGACACTGAGAATATTCTTTCCCCTATGGATACATTTTTGGCTTTTCTAACTTCATTAGAGTGATGATTATATAACATCAGAATAGGACAGTATAATAAACAAGCTGACCATCTTCAGATTTTCTTCTATCTCACCCCCCCCACACACACACACACCAGAGATAGGGTGTCTCTCTGTAATCATCCTGCCTGTCCTGGAACACTCTGTAGACCACAGAGATCCATCTGTCTCTGTCTCCCGAGTCCTGGAATTAAAGGTGTGCACCACTAGCACCCAGCTCCCTCTTATCTTAAGATGAGATATTATGAGTAATCAAATGTATCATAAATTGGTATTTTTTTTTAATGTGGTGCTGGGGTTAAACCTAGGATTTCATGTATGATAGGCACATCCTTTACCAATGGGCCATGTCGGCAGCCCTGGTGTGTTGGGGAATATTATTTTAAGGTGGGTGACTTTATGTTGTATTTGTTTAACTCTGTGAAGCTGTGATTCTTTGCTGTCTAAAACACCTGATAGTCTAATAAAGAGCTGAACGGTCAATAGCAAGGCAGGAGCAAAGATAGGTGGGGTTGGCAGGCAGCAAGGATAAATAGAAGAACTGAGGAAGAAGAGAAGCAACAAGAGAACAAGGACAGGAAGGTGTCAGGGGCCAGAGAAGTAAGAAAGATAAAAGCCCAGAGAGAAAAGTAGATGGGTTAATTTAAGAGAAGAAAAGCTGGCTAGAAAAAAGCCAAGTTAAGGTCTGGCATTCAAAACTAAGAATAAGCCTCAGTGTGTGATTTACTTGGGAGTTGGGTGGTGGGTCT